TACTGGCGTCACAATAAGCTATAAATCAATTAATCAATTCATAAATTGAAACAAGCTCAATAATTCCATTTGCATAATTTTCTCTTTTCTCTCTTTCTACCAAAAACCGAATGTCAAAAGTCTTCAGTGTGTTGAATTGGTCTCAACTAGATCCTTCTATGAAGGTCAGTTTTGCTTACAGAGACTTCATAACTCATTTTATTTGCTGTTTCTGTTGTTTTGTTTATCTATTTTGCATATTTAAAAAGTTTTCCAGTTCCAGTGTTAAATGTCTCGTAGAAATTAAAGCTTACTGATCTTTGAGAATGTGAACTTGCATTATTACACCATTTGCCACGGCTGTCTAATAAAAATGCCAAGAAAAGCCATGGGTGGCAACATGTTTGGCTCTTGCACTTCCAACTGATTGTTTGAAAATAAAACATACTTTATAGGTAAAACAATAACTAAAATTCTCCTACAACTTAGTTGAAAATAAAAGTTAACTTAGTCTGACACTTCAAGTACAAAAAGTGGTAAAAAACATTATTTTACAGAATGCACAATCGAACTCCGATGCCGATCAGAAAAGCGACCTCTGTTCCGTCTAAAAACCAGGAAGTGAACTCTAGCGTGGTTCGAATGCATATGTGAATGCAGGCAGACTGGGAACCGCTCCAAAAGCAGGAAGCGAACTATAACGCAGGGCATTCTGGGTAAAAACAATCAAAACAAACCTCCAAGTCTAGCACTAGCTGGAGAAAAGGCTTGTTGTCTTTTATCACAGACAAAAGAGGAATGCTATAAAACCTTCCAGCTTCTGTTCAGAAAGTGGAGGTGGTGTTATGATCTGGGCTTTGGGTTCGTGTTACGCAATCATTTCCCCCAACAGTTACAGAACCTAAAGAGAACTCCCATGTTTTAACGTCTCACATCTCTGATTGGCGCCGTCATAGTTTGCTGATAACACTCGCCTACTGTGAATGTTTCTCTTCTTTGTTCTTCAGCCTCCAGCTAAAAGGCATCAGCACACGGCTGAAATTAGAACAAGCATCTCAAGTTAGACTGCCTGTCAATATTTCTGTCTGTGTTCTTTAAAAATAACAAAGACCCGTGGAAACTGGTGTCATCTAGTTTTCAATCAAATGCTTTGCTCTATAAATAAGACAGGAGCTTTTAGATGTTTGTTATTTTATCTGCGGTGTGCGTTTGCACACGGTCCAAAGAGACGCCGAGTGAGAGATTGGTGTCAAATATAAAGACTTGATGGAAGACGTGTTGCCCATGCACACACACCCCGACACACACAGGCTGAAAAGCGTTAAATATCTGGGCTATAATCTGTCTGTGGCTCCTCCACTACTTCCATCCATTTCTAAACTTCTTTCATCAGTCTCAAGGCAGGCAAAACAAAAACTGTCAAACCGCGGTTGCACCGCCGCTCAGCAGAGTCTTTAGAGGATTCGGCCGAGACGAACGTCCCTTTGGCTTTTCTAGCTTTGCTAAAGGAGCGGTTAAGGCTCTGCATGTTTTATTTTAAACTGCAAATGGCACTGCAGATAAAAACTGCCTGGATATATCAGTAAAGACTCTATCAAACATTTTGCAATATATATTCCTTGTACGTTTATATTCAACCATACTTGCATATGCTTAAAAAACGAATGTGCCTTCAGAGTCTTGCGACTTTGAAGGCTAAAGGTGAACTACTGCGCAGACTAATAATGCTGTGACGATTTTTTGGGTTTCAAATTTAAATTTTTGTCAGAAACTGGAATTCTGTGGATGTTTAAGGCTGTGCTCCCCACAGAGAGCTTTTCAATCCCCTGGTAGGGTGCTGGTTTGCTACGTGTGCAAGCTGCAGCTCATTTCTTCAGACTTCTTCATGTGACCATTTATTCTTTAATAGATAAAATGCCTTAAAATCTTATTTTTTTACTTTTTAACTCAAATCTGAGCTGTAAGCTTCTTTTGCCTTTTGAAATTTTAGATCTTCTCTGTTTTGCTTTTTTTTTTTTACCTGTCATGATTTTATTTTTTTGAACAAAAATCTAATTTTAGGTGATATAAAAGAATATAACAATTCTTTTAAGTGTGAAATTGGTGGTCAAATAACATGAAGGTAAATATATAAAATGCAAATGTTTACTGATAAGAGACCCTGTCACAATAAGCAATTAATCATTTAGTAAAATCAGCCTGATTATATATTTTTAATTTTGTGACTTTATAATCCATTTTATTTATGGTTTCTCTTGTGTTTGGGTTTTATTTATTATTTTGGTTCTCATGTTTTATTTTGGATTTTTAAGTATCTTCCAATGTTGAGTTTTTTATTAAATTCAAGTTTAAAGGTATTTGCGCTATTATTCCATCATCAATACATTACTTCAAAATGGTCAACATTATAATTTATCTCAGTATCTTCATTTGCCAGTAAACTTTTTATCGCGACAGGCTGAGGTGCATCTTAGGCGAGCTTTTTAGATTTTGCTACATAGATGTTTAAATATTAATAAAATATCCAGAATATTGCTTCACTTTGAACATGCTTCCTTTGCTACTAGCGAAGAACAAAAATCCTGACTTCTTCACATTGTTAGCTTTTTTCTCCTGACCTTCACGACCTTTGCTGTGAGTGTGAGAACATAAAAGCTTTTTTTTGTTGTTGTTGATCCTGTTAAGTTTCATGCGTCGAAGTTTATTCCCTCAGCTTTAATCACTCATTTTGGACCTGCAAGCCTTCAAGGCCTGTAATTAACTCCAGCTTTGATGCTCATTTCCTGGACACAAACACAGAAACAAGCTCCATTCTCCCAGTGATATGACCAAACAAACAATCGTGTTTCGTTAACACTCTGTCATACTGTGAAGCTGATTGTGTTTCAGTAAAACTAGAAAAATGCACGCCACACGTATGAGGCCACACGCTGCGTTCATGCGCGCGCCGCCTCACGCCGCCAAGCAGTTTGTGTGACATCAAGACAACTTGCAGGTCTTCAGACAATAAATCAATAAAGCTTTCTGAACCTCGGCTCTGATGAGTGTCTGCTGCAGCAAAATGTAGCCATAACATTTATTCAATGCCTCAAAAATATCATTATAGCTTTGACTTTTGACCTTCACCAAACCCCACACCGCAACACACACATAAAACTGCTGATTGCCCAAAGCGTGGAAACTATAAGTGGTGTAATTTTTTCTTTTATTGATTCCTTTTGCTGTAATTCCATATGCTGCATATTTTTTAGATATTGAATACATGTCAAGTTACGGTGGAGCTTCTGGCTGTAACTGGTTCTGCTCCAGTCAGCCGACTGGCCGACTCATGTCCATTAGCAGTTTCTCTTCCATGTTTTTCATAACCACTGCAGGAGTAACAAAAGCTACATTGTCTCTCTGCATAAATGTCGCTTTTTCAAAGGTTTACATGGTTTAATATCAAGTTAACATGGTATTTAAAAAAATAACATCTAGCGATAACTATAAATTATCCTCTCTACCAAAAAAATCCAAAAGAAGAATTTAAAAAGATCACTTCATGTCCTTAAAGGGGAACCATTACAATGCGTCCTAAAACATCTCATTCTGAAAGGAGCTTAAAATAGACATGAGAATTACCTTTTGATTTGACTGTATTACATGTGCATCATTAGAGCCTCAGTAATTTATCCACTTGTTCATGTGATGCTCCAAGGGAGAAATCAGAACGGTCTTCTCTGTCCTCGATAAGTAACTTTACCTCAGTGATGAAGTGGGTTTGAAGGGGTTGAATATGAGTAATTAAGAATCCAGATGGACAAATTTCATCTGGATGAAGCAGCGGGAAAAAATACCAAGGAGGCAGATGATGCATCCTTGGTAAATGTCTCATGAAGTTTAATCACCTCTCATTTCCTGTTACACAATTTACTCTAAAACTGTGAAAATACAAGGATATGAATAAAAATAGTAATGAAAGCCTTTAACAGTTTTTCTTTGTTAAACTGACTGACTGGATTGAAATATGACAGCATTTTAGGGACATTATAAATAAAGATTTTCTGCCAAAAACTCACACATTTTCAAAACAAAACAAAAACAAGGAAAAGTTAGAAAATAAAAAAATGCTGGACAATTTTTGACTTTTCAAACTCCATGTTTTTTCTAGAAATGTTCTGACATTAATCTGAGTTTTTTCTTGTTTTTTCTTGTTTTTTAGAAAATTTTAAACTTTTCCAACTCAGAAATATTCTTTCTGAGACTAATCTGAAAATTTCTTTATTTTTCTAGCAGATTTTTGACTGACCTCCTTCAGTAACTCAGTTTTCTCTTCTGTTATTGCGTTGTGTTCAGGTGTAGGCGTAAGTCCATGGCAGACAGAAAAAAAGAGAGAAAGTTTCAACCGAAAAACTGGAATTTTTGAGATCTTTTTGAAATGTTCAAGATAAAACAAGGAAGTTTAAGAATTTCCACATTCGGCTCAACATCATGTAGTTCTTTAGTAATTACTAATCTGTCGCAGGTAACAAAACATCCTGGTCGTTTATTCAATAACATTTTGAGAGCATTAATCATTCATGAAACACAAAAACACAGAGAATTCCAGCTTTACAAAAATCCTTCATTGTAGACTCGCTGCTTTACAACAAACGAGTCGACAACGTTAAATTTCAGCAAAGAACAAGAGCGCCACCTGGTGACTCAATAAAAAACTACACTAGTTTTAATCCGAGTAAATTAATTCAACACCCGTTTTAAATGAGAACATTAATTGTGCAACATGCAGAGGAAGCAATGCAATTTTTTAAAAGCAGGTGTGTTGGAGCGAGCGCGCGCGCGCGCACACACACACACACACACACACACACACACACACACACACACCTAAGATCCATTTTACGACAAAATAAACAAAAATACACTTTTAAAAAACACAAAAATCTGGCTGTGCTTACAGCTTCTGTTAGCTAAAATATCGAACAGAGTAACTCGCATTGTGAGATTGGACCCTCACAGTTTGGACTCGAACCGGGTCTTACCGGGTGAAGCAGTGGTGGCAGACCTCTGCGGCCCGTTTGCCGGACACACAGGACGCCAGCGGCTCGGCGGAGGTCACCAGCTGCCCCCGGCGGATCCTAACTGTGGCCCGGAGACCGTTCCCCTTTCCCGGACAGACAAACCGCTCCACAGTCGACAGCATCCCCGCTTTTTGCTCCATGTGCGACGAGATCTGTTTACATCCGTAACGAGAGTGACGTCATTACGTCACGTGTGCGTACACAGAAACTAGACGTAAAAAAAAAAAGAAAAAACGTTATTTATTTAGTGTTTTTTTTTTCTTATTTTTTCCTGGATTTTTTTTATTTTATTGTATCTCGTTTATTTGGAATATGTATCTTTACTTGCTTAAACTTATCTTGATTGTCTCGCTACTGATTCTTGCTCTTTATATATAGATTATAAATTATGTATATATAACATATGTAATAAGTTGATTGTCTATATACATTTTTTTTAAATATTTATAAATTTATATTTACATATATATAATTATATAAATATAATTCATGTTTATTATATACAATATATAAATTATACTAAAAATATAACATACATTTATATAAATATAATTTAAATAGATATAATTTATATTTTATAACTATAAATGCATATTTATTTTAAATATTTTGTTCAATAACATTAAAAAATACATTAAAAATAAAAATATTCATACAGATTTTATTTTAATAATTTAAAAAATTAAAATGCAGTTGTATATTCTTTTTATTAAACACAAAATGGTACAAATAGATGCATATTTTGTTAATTTTGATCACTATCGCTTTAATAGGAAAGCCCATTTCCACCACTCATGAAAAAAATAAACATTTCTCATAATTGTGACTTAGCAATCTCATAATTATAATCTCATAATTATGAACTACACTTTTTTAAATTCTCCTTTAAGTATTTTTTCACATAATGCCATTAAACACACCTAAAGGAAAAGTCAGGAAGCACATCAATGAAGAATACAACTTAAATCCCTTCGAGTAAATTATGATAAATATTCTGTCTGAGATCACCACAACTCCTGTTATGTTTTGTGAACAGCATATTATTATTTCTAGATGGAATCTAAGTTGCTAAAAACTCTTAATTGCTGCACTTCTTAAGAAAAAAATGCAACACAAGCTCCCAAAGAAAACAGATTTTAATGAGACATGATAAAGAAAACTTGTTTTATAAAACCAAATTTACAACTCAGGAAATAAAAGTCAGAGTTCATAAAATGATGCATGAAAATTGTTTGTCAGAGCAGTGATACACTAAAAAAAAGAAATAAAAACAAGTACAATACTTTCAGATGAAGCAAAAACACTTGAATAATTTAACAATTTCCATGCAGAAGATGATAAAGACAGCATTGGCAGAAACTCACAGGGTTTAAATCATATATATGCAAGGAAAAACAGGACAGAAGAAACAAATCACCCACAAAAAAAAAATATATATATATAAAACAAACTACGCCACACATCTGAAGAGAACAAACACAAACCACAGGATAGATCTGCCTTTTTAAAACCATTTAAAACCATTTCCCTTGTATCATAAATAATTACAAATCATCTGAAAGGTTAAAAAAAAGTTGTGTTTTTGTGATTGTCATCTGAGCCAGCAGCTGACATGTGCAAATGAAAACATCAATGCATCAACAACTCGTTAAATCCAGGAAAGTCCTCCAACAAATGGTCAGGCTTTACGGAGACAAACATAATACTGTTTTATCCTTAAAGGGAAAATATCGTCAGAGTTTAGAGACTGAAAATATATTTTAAAAATATAAATTCAATTTGGCCTTTCCAAGGCTTTTCAAAGGGGGTAAATAAATTTAAAACTGTTTTTCTGAAAGAAAACAGGAAGAAATGACCAAAAATGGACAATGATGTAACGTCACTAACAAACAGAGTTTGGTAGAAACTAGTTACATTTACATGAGTAACTTTTTGGGGAAAATACTTTAAGAGTAGTTTTACTCTGCTGTACTTTTTACTTTTACTTGAGTAATTTCAGTATGAAGTATTTCTACTCCTACTTGAGTAAAATTTCTGAATAAACTTCACTGAGTAAAGACCAAGTTTGTTTTAACCAAACCAGACAGATCTGTAGTTTTTATTAAAGTTTAATCAGTTTTATAACGAAAGAAATTCATTTGGTAAAATTTTTATTTTGCCTCATTTTGTTTATTTATATGAATTAATTTCACTTTGGCCCATAACTTTGGCCAAAGTTTTCACATAAATTTATATTTTGATGCATCTAATGACATAAATTTTAAATGTTAAATTATTGATGCTTTGATCAGTTACTCAGTAGACTTTTTTACCAAATACTGTTTTACTCTTGAATGTCTACTTTTACTTTTGCATGGTTAAAAATATGCTGAAGTCGTGCCACTCTATTTTAATATATCCTTTAAACGAACAGCGCCACCCTTCGTTTTGGCTGAATAATTGCATCTTTAAATTTCCGCTGCTCTGCTGTTGAATGGACAGAAGAAAAATAAAAAAACTTTTATTTGGACTCCTGAACATAAATTAGACTTATTTTTAGTTTTTCTTGTTATTCTGATTTTTGCATGTGGCATTGTCTTTGTTTTTTAAAAGAATAAAAATTATTATAATAATGGTTTGTTTATAATAACTTCTGGATAAATTGTTGCCACTTCTTTCTTAGATTTTTTTATATATTGTTCATTTCCTTTTAGCTCTTCTTCCAGTTTATTTTAAAGTCTGTTTGGCTGTGAACACAACAGTTTGACCTCAGTCCCATGAAATAAGTCTAGATTTTGCTATAATAATTTTTTCCTTGGGATATTTTTAACCAGACTCTACTTTTGCCTGGTTAGAAACATGTTGAAGTTGTGCAATTGAAGAGAAAAGTTAAAGAAAATCACTGGGGCTAAAGTTAAGTAAGTATTGTCTTGGCTTTTGGTATTTTTTCCAATTTTATAATTGCTTTATTATTTTTACTAAACTGAAATGTTATTTTCTACATCATCATTTAGATACTTGTGATGTTGTGAAGGATTTGCTCAGCTTAGGCCGCCGTAAATGATAATATAAATAAACTTTTGAGTAAAATATTTGGTACTCTGCCCATCTCAAAAAAAGCTAACTTAAACAAGGTTTATGTCCAATTTATGTGCAGCTTTTGCTTTTTCTCTTTCATATTTAGGAAATTTCAATCATGGAAAATTACCCTGAAAAGAAAAGTTAAATAATAGACGATATGAGCCCTTTAAGTAAAGATTAGAGAAACATTCATATTCCCTCTTTTACAGACGTTTGTCCACTTTTCTGTGAGGATTTTCACAATGAAATTCATTGTGAAAACAAATTGACGCCTTAGAATCGAATCAAAAGAGGTTATTGGGCTACATAATCATCTCAACGAGACAAAACTAAGGTTTACAAAGACAATAAATAAAGCACAAAGTCTGTGTTATATATGGAAGACCAAGTGGCGGAAAGTCATTCTGATTTCCTAAAATTATTTTTGGGAAAATCTACCAGAACAAACCGGATGTTTTAGCGGATTAATTCCCAGAATTCCCTGAAAGAACAAACACACAGGCAGATTGAGCTTCATGTGGTCCTGCATCCATTATCTACACCAAGTAAATAACATTAACAATATATATTTTTTTGTTTCTCATCGATAAAACATTTCATATTTTGACACAAACACTTAAGTAGTTCATGAGTTTTCTGCTGAAGTGGTCTGTGCAAACGAATGGCTATCTGACGATGTCAACTCCTAACAGAAGGAAATGCCTGTAGAAATATTGCAAAATCTTCAAAAATATTTTCTTAAAAAGTACCGGTCTCATGTGCAACACGTTCAACAATCATTTGACAGCATGTACAAATGTGCACCGTTTTCTCTACGTTTTAAATATGCTACACAAAACCAGATCCTGATCGGTGAAACCCAGAGAGAGTTAAAACATGGCGCCGAGTCGGATCAAACAACAGGGAGCTGCACATTGCAAACGCAACGAAAAGGTTAAAATAAGTTATTTCACAATGATTTTTTATTCTTCTTTTCACCAACGTAGAACAAATAGAACACGATTGTACGCCATTAGCAATTCACGGATGGTAAATAATAACATTTCACGATGATTTGTAAAGATGCCTCAAAGCAAAGTTCATAATTAAGCTCCAAACATTCGTTTATATTTTTAAGATACACTTAGGACAAAGTGATTTCATTCAAAGTAGCAGACAGATGCAGTCTTATCTCTCAAGTTACATTTTCTGTCTTTTAAAAAAACTCTACAGTAAAAGCAACACCTTTGGTTGCACCAATTACAAAACACTTAATGAGATTAAATCAGACATTATTTTACGCATCAGTTAGTAAATTCGTTTGAAGCTGAAGTATTAAACTTCTCAGCAACATTTGTGCACATAAGACTTTCTTTAATTTTGACGGACAAAGTAAGAAAGCTGACAGATTTTCTGCCGTACAAAAATTAAGACATCACAAGTTAATTATCTTAGTTTTTCTTCAGATTTCTCCGTGAACAGGCATCTGAAACATGTTTATTAAAAGTGCACTGGAAATGCGTTCGCAGAGCGTCGACATTGCGGGTTTGAAAACGCCAAATGCATCCGAAGGAGACGACTAGCCACTCGATAAACGGCAGTAAGCTCTTCACGAGGAACGTTACCTCAACACCCGTCAGAGGATTCCTGCTATAACCCGGAGGAATACCAGTGCTGCAGCCGGGTTATCCCCCGACGGATCTGACCGAAGTAAAAGTCTGCGTTTCTGGAGAAGTCCTGGCAGACGGAGGACTGGGCGTCCCCCAGAGCGCAGTAGAGGGCGGTGCCGCCGACACTGATGACGACGGTAACCAGACAGAGGAGGAAGAGCAGCAGGCAGGAGTCTCCACCGCCAACATCTACGCAGAAAAACAATAACATAAAATAAAATCACACGCAGACAGAGGCGAGTTGTTGACCATCACTCTGCAGCTGGGGGTCAAACTATTATGTCAGAAGTAATTGATAAAACCTAATCAATAAATCAATTAAAACAAACTAACAGATTTTTCTGTTTTCTCTCTTTCTACCAAAGGCTGGATGATAAAACTCTTCAGTCTGGTGTTTTGTTTTTTTAAATTTGTTTAACAGAAACTTCATAATTCATTTTATTTCTTGTTTCTGTTTAGTTTCTTTATTTTGGATATTTAAAATGTATTCCTGTTCCAGTGATGAATGTTGATCAGAATCTAAAGTTTATTGATCTTTAAGAACGTATTACCTGAAAATAGCATCAAAACAACAATATTATCGTTTATCGCAAAAACTTCTGGGACAATTTATCATCCAGTAAAACAGATCTAATAAAACCAGTTAAACTCTTCAAATATCAATAAATAGCTGTCTCTGAATTCAGTAAGTTATTTGTAAAAGGAAATAATATGGAACATCTTTTCACATTGATCAGTTCCTCAGAATGTTGAGATTGTTTTTGTGATTTTTGGCAATGAAAATTACATATTTTATTATACTAATTTAGAAATATCTAAAAGTGTTAAAAGTGACTTTTTATTACTCTGCACATCGATCACAGACTTTAACTTGACTTCAAGTAAGGCAGAGGCAGCAGTGGAGCAAAAGGCAGAAATACTGCCACCTGCAGGTGGGAGTTAGTCACTTAAACCCAACATTTTTTAACATTTTTACAGAAAAACATTTAGCACAAAAAAGGAGGGTTGATTTTGCAGAATACCGAAGTAACATTTGCTTCCACTTAATGATAATTCCCAAAGTTGTTTTCCTTTATTGGTGACTTTAAAGAAATAAATTGAGTACCATGGTCATAGGTATCATCGGGAACTTTGAAGCGGACGCGTCTCTTGGTCGTGGGTTTCTCCGGAGTGAGTTCTGGGTCAGCAGACGTACTCAGGCTGTCCACATACACACTTTGCTTCTTCAAGATGGAGACAAGTCCAGAGACGGGGGACATCTGAGACGCACCGCAGGAGACAAAAAGATGAGACATTTCACAGCAGAGACACGTACAGACATAAACAAAAGAAACTGTGAAACAAGTTATGGTTCAAAGTGGACTTTGACGACAGATGAACTTTGACCTGATCACACCAGAGCATCTGTGACTCAAATTATGCAATAATGACATCAGTCAGCAATTTGAAGCCATTTTCAACCCATTTAGAGCAGCGAGAACCTGAGACATCAAACCTTAAACTAAAACAGCAAAAAAAGACAGGAGGAGGGACAGATCCAGAAAGAACCTTTAAAACATAATAAACTGATTTTCACTTCAATCTACTGCTGTGTTTTGAGAGTATCATACTCAATAAAAATAATAAAAAATGACAGAGAAACAGTCACCTCTTCGACTGTGATGAGCTTCGCCATTTCGTCCAGGGAAGAAGCTCTCCTGATGAAGTCGTAGTCCTCCTCTTCCTCCCTCTCCTCTGGATATTGTTCTTGCTGCTCCAAATCGGCCTCCTGGGAAGACAGCGCCTCCTCGCTCAGGCAGTTTTCAGAGTCCTCCTGCAGTCAGCATGGAAACTTAGAGATTTTCTATTTTGCACCATTTTGTTCAGACATTTTTTAACTCTGTCTGCTTATTAGGGCTGAAACGATTAATCAAATTAATCATGATGAATCGGTTATTGAAATAATCATCAACTAGTTCTTGATTAACCATTAACTGGAGTATTCAGACTCAAAAAAAGTTAAATTGGTAAAAGAGCAACATAGTCAGAGCAATAAAAATTAAGCCAAAACTGTACAAAAACATACATACATTTTGCATTTAGGATAAAAAAAAAACGTAAATCTGTTCTACCCAGTTTAAATTCTGTAGTAAAAGAAAATCTCCTAGTAAACACATTTTTTTAATCTAATTATTAATTGATTAATCCAGAAAATAATCAACAGATCAGCTCTACACTCTGATGATGTGAGGTTTATCAGGAAGAGCTGAGCGGGTCACATGTTGCTGATATAAGTGTTGTTAGCTGCAGATGTTTGTCAACCATTCACTAAAGAAATGCTGTGTTGCTGCATTTTAGTCAATAAAATGTTTATTTTGTTATTGTAATGTATCTTTTAATGTGTTTCTAATATAAAAAAGGCTTAAATTAAGGTAATTGAGGTAATAACACTACATTGCAAAGAGTTCCACAAACATATTGAAAATATATTTAATGTAAACATTCAAATGTGAAGCTTTGTATTTACTGTTTGACACATTAAATAAAGACAAAAACGATTGTCAGCCATTAAGGAAAAGATTAAAACCAGAACCACCTACTACTGTCTATCAGATTTTCGTTATGGAAAACATTCATTTTTCCCTTCAAGTTGAAAAAGAAAAACTAAAGCTGTGATTTGGGGCTGAAACGATTCCTCGAATGATTCAAGTTCCTCGATTATTAAAATTCCTCGAGGAAAATCATCTGCCTCGAAGCTTCGTTAAATTACGTTAAAAATATAATTTTCAATTTTTGCACAATGCTTCTCTAGGTTAACTTAAAAAGTGAGCTGTTATTGTTACTGGTTAGTTTTCTAAACTACAGAAAAGAAATAGTTAGGGATGCTCAGATGTAAAGAAACTGAGGAAGATGTTGATATCCAATAGTAATACTAGTTATGGTAGAAAAAATTTATTTTATTTGATCTATTTCTTATTTGATTACTTGTTGTTAACTTATTTGATTAATTGTAAGAATAATCGATAAAATACTCAAGTACTAAAATAATCGTTTACAACAGCCCTACTGTGATTAATGAATGTGATGGAAATCTGTCTAAATAAAAACATAATTTGAAAAATTAAAAAGGCTTAAATGTAAAAACTGATGAATGTGTCGTTTTTAAAAGATCAACCATCAGAATAATTGATAACTGAAATAATTGTTAGTTGCAGGCTGCTAGCAGCAGCATAAATCATTTAGGGAGTGCATAAAATACAGAACCTACGAACAGAGCAGGGATGGCCACCCTAACGGCACACCAAACTGAAATTAACTTTAGTTTGTTTCATGACCATATATGGAAGAATAAATGATATACCTGAATGTCCTGGTAAAGGTGCAGCTTCTCGCTGTGCAGCTGCAGCTCTGCCCCACTGACCAGAGTCTCCACTGCAGGAGCTTCCTGACTCAGATGAGCATCCGGCTCGCTCTGCTTCTCCTCGCCGTCGTCCTCCGTCCCCTCGTCTTCCATCTCCAGAGCCTCTGCTGCCTCCTCCACCTCACTCTCCTCCTCCTCCTCCTCTTCCTCCTCTTCCTCCTCCTCCTTCGCCTGTGCTTCCCGAGCCGGACCTAAATCCTCCTCCTGCTGCTCTGCGGGGCTGGAGCAATCCATTCCCCCAGCTGCAGAGGGGTGCAGCCCGTTTCCCCGAGCTGAAGCGGCAGGCTCTCCCCCTCCCTCCGCCTCTCTGCCGCCAGCTTGCCTTTGAGTCTGATCGGAACCACAAGGCGTCCTCTGTGAGCTTCCATTCGGGGGTTTCCGGTCCGTTTCAGGTGAACCGAGCCTTTTAATCAAATTGTCGGAAAGCGCAGAAGGACAGGATGAATCCTCGTCTCTCTGCTCCATCCCTCCTTCAACCAGATGGGCTGCAGGAAAAAACAGGAAAGGAAGTTATTTATGTATAAACATGCAAACTGCAAGCAAATAATACTGTACTTAAGATAAATTTAAATGCATATGTTCATATTTCAGCAAGAAATGCTGTGTAAATATTTGTAAACATAGTGTTCTTCTCTAAAGTTTATTTATTTATATTGAATGTCTGTAAACCTGTGAAACAGAGGTAAATTATGCAATTTTCTGAACAACATGAAGAAAATGTGTTTCATCTGTTCACAAAGAGTAAAACAATCTTTTACAATCTATTTTCAGTTTGTTACATTAATCCTGTTTAAATATCTGGTATTCTTTTTTTTTTCCTCTTAGTAAAGTGGGAAAAAAGAAGAAATAAAAACATATTGAAACTAATCTTCAATACAGTAAAACAAATGATTCAAACGGAACAGAGTAAGACTCGTATTTGTCATGGAAACCTAGTGGTCTTGGAATAGGCCACTGGCCTCCAGACTAAAAGTTTTAAAGAGGCAGTATTATGTATTTTACAGGCATATTGTAGCAGAATTAAGTATCTATGTTACATTCAATTGTTGTAAAATTTATATATATATATATATATATATATCAAATATAACTAGAAAGAAATTTGACTTCATATTTGAAATTGGGCCGCTGTCTCTTTAAAAGTTCCTGCTCTTTCTGAAGCTCCGCCTTCATGAAGTCGACACAACCATAGACATAATATAATATATCATTATATAATATAATATATTATATTATGTCTATGGACACAACAGGCTCCTCTGCTAACCCTTTAGCAACATTTCACTGAGAAGTAGCTCCTATAATGAGCTCAGCTGATACACAGCTAAACATTGTGTCAGTGCACTGTAAAACATTTGAAGGTGGTTTAATTTGAAAATGAAAATCCACCTGCTGAAAAAGCAACCTAAGTCAACAAGAAAACTGTTTTGGTTTTGACTCAGAAATTAAAGTTCATGAAGTTGATTTAACAACAAGAGACAAGTTGTCTAAAAAATGATTTTTTAAGTTCATTAATCTTGAATTGTAAGTTTTAACTTAATGCTGCGATTTCAACCAATTATTTCACAACATGGCAGAAAAAAAACTGCCCTCACCTGGTTAAAGAGCCACATTTCTCCATTATTTTACTCACAATATCAAGTTAATAATAATAATAATTGAAATTCTTGTTTAAAATTTCTGTTCAAAAACATTTAGTGTGAACAGGACATTATCATCAAGCTTTGCAAACTTAAAATAAACATTTGTCTTAATAAAACACAAGAGTCAGATCAACGTAACGCACTTCCATCTCAGGACATAAAAACATGCCGCTAAGCATTCTGGGAAATAATTCCCACTCCTCTTTTTCTTCCAGTTTTTTAAGTGCTAACCTAAAAACACTAGTTCATTCAACGCTTAATATAAAAGTTAACAACTCACTACTGTAAGTTTATGTTTCACAAACTCAAACATTTAGGTTCAAAATCTAAAACTTGCTAAATTTATTTGTTAAAGAGTAAACGACAGTAGACACAACTAAATGTGGCTCAAATGTTTAACAGTGTGGCAGGTAAAACAGAGGGAGACCACAAATATCTCCGTCTGAACTGTTTGCTAAAGGAACATAGACGACAGAAAGGAATATTTTAGCAGATATAATCCGTCCTCTTTTCAATCAGTTTGAACCTCTGACCTCAGGAAGCCGTTCAGCTTCACTCTGACGGCTAAAAAAAATCTATAAGAAGTGATTTATTCCCAGTGTAGAAACAATTCACCAAACTAAATGGTTACATTTAACTATAATATGAAAACTGATTTATTCTACACACAAATAGTTGACGTGATTGTATGAATGTGATTTATTTTGATCCACAATGATGCGCTGCTTAGTGTTTCACATAAAGTACATTTATACTTTCCATGTCTCACAAAATGTGAAACTCCAAGAAGTATGAACATGTAATTAAAAAAATACAATGAATTAAGCATACAAATGACATGATTCTTAAAATGCCGCACTTACTTGAAATGCATGAAGGGCGGGAAACCCCTCCGCCAAACTGAAGGCTCAAATTGTCCAAAAGAGCAGCCTGAACACATATCACATATTTGGTACGTTATATTAAAGCATCTAAATACATTTAACTTTAGAGTTTCCAACAAGGAAAAGCAGTGGTAAAATTAAAAACTATTAGTAACTTGTGAGGTGGTCAACAGAGACGTGTAACTTTGCGAAACACATAAAGAGGCGGAAACGATGCAAACTGAAAATGTCTTACCTCAGCATCTCGTGTCGTCGGTCTGAAAACAGGAGAGAGAGAGAATCAGAGGCTGAGCGGACAGAAGGTCCGGCTTGGTTTAGTGAAAGAAGATGTGTGACCCGTCTCTGCTCTCCCAATCTAATATTAGCCTGAACACATTTCCCTGGCTAATAAAACCTGGGTGTGTGTTTCTAAAATGTGATGGGAGGTCTGGGGGCTCACAGTAACATCATTGAGTAAAAGGAGTTTATTTAAACTACTGAATACAGTTTAAATAAACTACATGTAACTATATAGAGGCATAAACCGGAGGGACAGTTTGGATCAAAGTGTCTAGAAAAAGAGTGAAAGTTAAGGGAATGTCCTCTGAAGGCAAGGAAACACGACTCGGTCTGTGTGCGTGTGTGTGCTGCGTGTGTGTGCTGCGTGTGTGTGATGCGTGTGTGTGATGCGTGTGTGTGTGCTGCATGTGTGTGCTGCGTGTGAAACCTTATCAGTGCAGTGGCTCAAATGTCTGAAAGTGCAGCGGCAGCAGCAGAGGACAGGGGACATATGGTTTACCCATCACTTCATTACTCATCACATTTTTGTGTTTCTGTCACTCAAACAGACTCACATCACATCACAGAGTTTACACAACACACAGCTGTGATTCGCAGAGGACCCAAAAATTTACTTAGCTAAGAGTAAAACTACTTTAACATATTTTACTCAAGTAAAAGTAAAAAGCAGCCATCCAGGAAATTACTCAAGAGTAAAAAAGTATTTGGTAAAAAAGTACTGAGTAACAATCATTTAATATTTAAAAATTACATCATCAGACAGACCAAAATATGTGGTTAAATGGAGATTTTGGTATTTAAAGGGCAAAAATAAAAAATCAGGCAAAAGAACATTTTTCCAAATTGTTTTCTTTCAATACAAAAACATGCGAAACTTTAAAGCAATTTGTAGGTGTGTGTCTTTGTCAATGATGTTAAACAATCATGTTCTAAAACATGATTGTTTAACAAATAATCATGTTAGAACATTTATTTATTTATGTGAATCATAAAAAAAAATCAATCTGTATCAACTGCTTTTGCTGGCAGGCTGAATTTCTTGCACTTTGGGGAGCCTGACTCAACAGTTCATGTAATGACTCCCTAAAAACATGCAGGCTTACCTGGAGTGTGTCTGGCAGATGTGTTTCAGAGAGTCCAGGTGTGTGGCTGCCAGCTCAGGAGACGCTCCTCCACAGTGACTCACTGAGAGGGAAAGAGTTCAAATTAAAGTGTGACATTCTAGATTTAACATTTGAGCACATGGTGAGTGATTCGTAGTAAATCAACACTGAACATGTTAATAATGTACTTTGAAAATGATACTGGGTTTAATAGATAGATATATATATATGAGAGAGGTGTGCTGTGTATTACCCCACTGCTGTTGAAGTGCATTCAGGTTTTCCAACACTCTCTGGTGGTAAAGCTGCTCTAGCTGGATAAACAACAACGCTCGCTGGTCTGAGAAGCTAAAGTCAAGACTTAAACACATGAACCAAAACAGAATGACCTACTACATCGTTCCATGATAAAAACCTGACATAGATCTTGAATTAACAGTAATTCTTTGTATTTTGCTAATAATAATCCAGACTTTATTGTGCTTTTTTTTAAATTGTTCTATTTTTGTCCATGTAGCTGGTACCCTGCTACCTGTAGAGGAACACAACACTCCTGAACACCAAAAACACGAACAAGATCATCTTAAGAGGCGCCTAATTCAGGACAAACTAGAACTGCACGATGTTAAAAAAATCACACAGGGACTATTGACCTTTAGCACGTGACGTCACGCTTTCCAGAACTCCGCCCGCTCCGCCATGACGGACGTCAAAACAACCTATGCACTCCTGTAAAGCCCGTCAAAAAACGGACATGCGGCATAATATCGCTTTGATTTAGTTGATTTAACTTTAAAAATGGTCACAATGTCCTGCGAGGTCGGCTACACAAACAGACAAGGATAGAAATAAAACGTGTCATTTTATTGCAATGAGGAAATATGGCGGCGACGGATAATAGCTGTCAATCAATGACTGTCAGCTCAACTGTTAACCGCGGATTTACAGCGAACACTTTTTACAAGGTAAGAAGATTAACGTTCATAAACCTTATAAGTAAGTATGATTAGAAAGATATGAAATATCGCATAACGGAGAAGGTATGCGTCTAACCCTTGGTAACTATGGAAACAGTGCCCCACTGTCAAGTAGCCTAGCATGTATGGAGAAAACTGGTTAGCATCTGGTTTTTTGAACGTATTTAAGGCTTCTTCAGTGTAAAGGGAAACACCGTTTATGACTTCATGATATTAACTCATGTGGTGTGAAAGCGGGTAAAGTCGGTAATTTGATCAACACATCAGCAGGGAGAAGGTACGGATCGGTTTCTAAGCTAGCTGTTTCCAACTTTTGTAAATACCGTCAAGATACAACGACATGAGAGGCTGCAGAGTAGTTTTAGGTCGTACAGAGGGGGTAACCGGGTGAGAGGAAGAAGAAACACAAAGGCAGGAGAACAGATACATCGGAGGGCGGGGGCCTGAAGTCTCATGTTTATGGATATGAGCAGCCAAAACACAAGCCTTCTTTGACTCAGCTCAATGCTTTCTCTCACTAACTTACGCTCTACAGATTCATTGCAGCTAAGCTTGCTTTCCCTTTTCTCTCATGCATTCATGTGTTCACACCCACTGGCTTTCCCTCTGATTACGGTAAGCGCTGCGATTTCACTTGTCCTTCCATCATTCTTTCCTGTCATTAAATGTTATTCTCTGTTAGCCTGCGAGCATCATGTAGAATTAAACTTTATAGAGCCAGACGATAAATTGTCCCAGAAATGATTGCAATAAGCGATAATATTGCCATTTTGAGACCGTTTTCAACTAATATAATAATAATAACAATAATAATAATAATAGCTTATTAATGCAAATAAGACCAGTCAAAGATGAAAAATATATATATATTTTAAACAATATTTAACACTAGAACTGGAAATCTTTTATATATCCAAAACAATCAAAGACACCAAATCAAAAATAATCAAAACTGATCATGAAGTCTTAGTAACCAAAACTGCGTCTTAAAAACAATAATCATTGAGCTTAGACAGGGAAAGTAGGTAAAAGTGGCAGGTTAAATGTTTGCAGTATTTCTCAAAATGGCGGCTTTTCAACAATATTAAAAGGAAGCATCTCTTTAAAGACTGTTGTCCAATTTATCATGCAATTAATTGATTTATTGTTTATCGTGACAGGTTTACCCATAACTTCAAATAAATAGCAACAAATTTATTATTCTGCTCATTTTCTGTCTGCTATAATAGTACTAAAATACTTAAATGAATACAGTTAAAACAAAAGCATGTACACATAACAAGGATACAGTCTTTCTGAAGGACGAAAGTCTCGGCGATCTGAAGGGAAAGAGAGGACAAAGTTTAAAAATTCTTTTATCTGATCAGCCGTCACAGAGACCAGAACACATTTTCACAAAAGATCATCGACGTGGAACAAGAGGATACGTCAATAAGTAAAGACGGAGATAAAGAAAAGGCAGTGATATATAAGACAAGAGCACTACAGGAAACTGAGCTGAGGAATAAAAATCATGATGTAGCAGGAACAGCGTTATTTTGTTTTCCAGAGAATGAATTGTAAATAAGATGGATGAATAATTACAGACGAAAACGAGAGATCGTATAATACCCTGTACCTCTTTTCAGCAAGTGTGGCGTTCATGTCGCCCAGCTGATCTCAGAACAAGAGCAGCGTGTGTGAGAGCGAGGAAGAGGAGGAGGAGGAAGCATAAGGCTCTCGCATGTCAAATGAAGTGAGGGCGGTGACAACTGCTTGGCTTTCTAGGTAGCCTACTGGGAACATAAACTGCTTCAGGCTGCTTTTTGTTCTGCTGGTAGGTTTTTTAAAGCATGTAAATTTAGTTCATACCACATTAATAAACTGCTGCTCCTAAATCCCACAGTTTTGAGTTTTATGACAGCAGTAAAATCTGAACTTTTTATAGTTCATGGGATGATGCATACATGCAATTCCAGTTAAAAGGGAGAATCTTTACAGCCAGTTTAGTTTAAAGTTTCAATTATTGTGTGTTTGTTGTTATATCATGAAATCTGACTGAATGATAAGTGTTTAAGTTGGTTAAGAATAATACAAACACCTGCCAACTGATTAGTTGCAGATCTAAAATAAAATAATAACAGCATGCACAAATAATAATATTAATTAGAGTAGAATTTTACATTCTTCAGAAACAAAAAGATTACTTAAACTTTTTTTTTTTTAATTTTCAGTGACCAAATGTCAGTTGAGGCAGCTCAACTCAAACGTTGTGCTGCCTTCTTGTCAGTCGTCTTCCTCCATTGCTCCGACGCTCTTATTTAATCTGGAAGCCAGCGCGGGTCAGGTGTTCTCTGTCAATCTGACAAACATTAACCTGCCTCAGAACGTACGAGTTCAGTCACGCAGCTCCGCGAGCCAGAGTGAAACTAACACAGGGAACCTGAGGGTGAGCACCGAGTGTGAGTTTTAATGAAGTGTGCATCTGGCTCCTGAACATGCCAGCAGAAACACCCTGGCCCCAGGGTGCAAAGTGCCACTCTGAGGTCGACTGGATGAGTAGCAGCCCTTTAAATGCTCGTGTGAAAGCAACGGTTTGAATAGACGAGGCTGGCAGAAAGCCAGCATTACACGCTGGAAAGACGCCTTTAAATGGGAAATGCCCGCCAGGCTTGGTGTTAATGCCCAGTTCAAAGTGTCTAAAGGTCACCTAATACGCTTCCTTCAACAAGTTACTGGAGATCCATGGGCTTTGCAAAACGTGTTCATTACATTTTTTGCACAAAAATCATTCTTGGGTAATGAGATTTCAGTCTGCTCAGTTCTGCCTATTTTGAGCTCCTTTCAGCAGGAGCTCATTTTAGGGCCTCTGTCACTTTAAACCCCAATGAGCAGCTGCTGGCCACGCCCCAAACTCAATGTTTATATTCACACAAAAAAATAGCTGCAAACAGATGCGTATTTATACAACCGTACATCTGTGATAAGCAGAAGTGAAGCCTCCTGCTCACCCAAAAAGAATGCAGCATGTGGTTTCTGGATGGGAAGTTCACAACAAAACATTTGTCTTTTCCAGGAGCCATTGTACAGGACAAGCAGCGGTAAAAACCGGTTGACCAAACATGCTGGAGCTCAGCTTGTGTTGCTAGGCAACGGGGCTGGGCTAGGTAATGGCGCAGTGCCCATCAAATGTGGCTTGCCAATCTGGAGGTTTCTGAAAAGTCTCATTTTTCAGACACCAAAAAACATCAACATTTTGCCAGAAAAATGTCTGGGTGTTTTTTTTTTATGTTTGGGCTGTTTCTCAGATGCAGCTGAGGCGCAAATGGAGGCACTAAAAAAACATGCAACATGAATTTTGCAAAATGGGTCCCATTTAACATAGAGGAGGCGAAAGACAAAAGATTACCTGGTGAAGGTACTGAGGAAGGTGGGCATCATCATCTCTTTCTGCCATCTGCTCCAGAGACGCCAGGAGAGTTGGGCTTAACGCAGACCCTGTTAACGAGGTTGAGACTGAAGAATATTCAGCGACTGGACTGGAGGTAAACTGTTCCTGATTTGAGGACGTGGCGGTGGTATGACTCCCTGTAGTGAAGGCAGAGGGTTCTCTGTTGGTGACCAATACAGTACTTGAGCTGCTGGTTACTCCAGTCAAAGCAGGCCCACAGTTGGAGACAGGATCCTTGCAAGAGGTAAGCTGTTCTGGACAGGAGTCTTTTAATGTTGCATCAGAGGTGAGTGTGTTACATCTGGTCCCAGAAGATCCGTGAAGCTGAGTGTTTGAGGTTAAACCCATCGACTCCGTGCTAAATGTAGTCGCTTGACTGCAGATGGAAAACCCAGAGCTGGTGGAACTGGAAATTACTTCCTCTCCACTTTGACTCAGTTCCACTGAATTAATGGGATGTAAAGTTTCCGGACTGATGACTGGGATGATGGGGGATGCAGGTTCTGGACTGGTCCCGGGGCTGAAGTGAAATGGAGTTTCCAACAAACTGCCTGCAGAGGAAAGCACAGGTAGACGTCACACAGAAGAGACACAGATACAAGGAACTAGAGAGTAACATGGTTGAAACAGGAAGTAGACAATACAGCAACTAAACTCAACAAAAACATTACACAGGCAACAAATATTGAACCTTTAAAGTGGAATGGTTAACAAAAATGTTGTTGGTTCCTGTACTTTAACCAGAAGGAATAAAAACATTAACATTTTGATGGTGGCTCTCATTTGGTGTGTAGAGCCCAGAACCATAGTAAAGGTGTTGTCAATGTTCAATGTTATGATTACAATGAGATCAGTGCTGATTTACATACAAATGTGCTTAAGAGTGTTAGCAAAAAAAGCTTAATTTTAAGAGACAGGCACTTTTGTTTTAATTAATTGCATAAATCAAAAATAAGCTTGATAAATGTTCTTGTCTCTCTCACTTTCTACAAATACTGGAGGACAAAATCTTCAATCTGGTGCTTTGGTCTCAATGGAGACTACAGAATCCATTTCATTGTTTCAGGTGTTTTATTTATTTCCCAGAATTAAACGTTCATTAGAAATTAAAGTTTATTGATCTTTGACAGGGTGTACTTGCATTATTATGCCATTTCCATTCCATCACTTGAAAACGTTCTCAAAACAACAATATTTTCATTTATCAAAATAACTTCTGGGTCAATTAATCATCCAGCAAAATGTGTTATAGGTAGGCCTGTCGCGATAAACAATAAATCAATTAATCGCATGATAAATTAAACCCATCGACCTCATTTTAATTATCGGCTTTATCGTCTCTTCCTATCTTTTTTTTTCTCTTGATGACACTGAATGAAAAAAGGCTCAGCTCCTTTGCTCTCCACTGACCCTCCCTTCCTCATTTCCTTAGTGTAATGCCCACCGCACACTACACGAGTTGTCGGCCGATTGTTGGCCCAATTTTCAAAATCTGACACATCAGCCGACAGAAATCCTAGGTATAACGGTTCGATCGGGTTCGATTGTGCCGTGTGATGTCCAGCCACCTGGGCACAAAATAATGGCTA